GGATCAGACTTACCTTAGTCCTCAAAATGAAATCTTTGCCCTTTTAACTTTCAAGAGGTCTTCTGCAGATTCGTCCAGTGCAATGCATTGTTTGATTTCTTGGCTGCTTCCATGGGCATTGATTGTGGATCCAAGTAAAATAAAATCCTTGACAACTTCAATGGACTCCGGCTTTTTGCTTACTTACTAGTCCAATTGTGAATTTGTGTTTTATGTTGAGATGTAGTCTGTACCAAAGGCTGTAATGTTGATCTTCAGTCAGTAAGTGCTTCTTAGCAAGGAAGGTTGGGTCATTTGCACAGTAGAAGTTAAAGCTTTTCCTTCACAGAATCCAATTTCTAGGATTATTTGCTCAGCATGCAAATTATATAAGTATGGCAAAGCAATACAATACTAGTGCACCCCTTTGTGACACAGGGGCGAGTTGTTCCATTTCAGCCCAGCAGGGTACGGAAGGGCCAGTCTCCAGGGTCCATCTGTGTCTGATTAGTAAGCCTGGTCTCTCTTACAAGTCTTGCTCCCACATTTGTCTCTCACTCTACCAAGGATCTCTTTTTCAGTGTAGTTGACAATAGTAGCCAGGCACCATCTGGCTTTGGTCCCCGGGTTGGGAAGACTGATGTTTGCATGGTTCATTCTAATGGAGTAATTGTTCTCATGTCTTTGGATTTTCATCACTCCTCTTTCCTCTGCACGGGGCAGAGACCAATAGTTGCACCTCAGATGGCTGTTCATGAGCTTTCAAGACTCCAGTTGCTGCCCATCAAAGTAGGAGGTAGAACATGTCTGTGAACCGTTACGCCAATTGACTATTGTGAGGAACAGAGGGATTTCTCTTAAGTTGTCTCCCCAAATATATGCCAGACTTAGCTTGAGAATAATTGTGCACTAGGCAGCGAAAGTGGGTCAGAGGTTATTCTCCCTAACATCAGCCATCTAGAGCGGCCTGACTGACTCTCCCCAAATAGGGCCCATTCCTTCAGTTATTGTTCCCTTGAAGCAGTGCCCATAGGCAAGCCCGGGACCACTCTAAGATGACTAAGTTTAGGTTACTATCTTACCACACATGCCCCCCTATTCCCTCCTCTTACTATTGCACATTCACTCCTAGGTCATCCCCCTCCTATTGCTTGTATTGCCTATGTTACAACCCC